TGAGGAGAACTTCTTTGCCAGCAGTGCTTAAGAATTTAGATTGCCAGCTCTGCAATCTGCCTCTTACAGACTGAAGGATGTAGTCAAACACCTCTTTTTTGGACCTTCCAATACCCAAAGGTAAGCCTAAATATCTGGTGGATCTGTGAGACACAATTCCACTCAAAGCATTACAGATATTGGATTTCAGCTGTTGAGGAGTATTTCTACTGAAGAAGATTGCAGACTTTGACAAATTGACCTGCTGTCCTGAGAAGAGTTTGTACTGTTCTAGCAGATTCATAAGATATGATGCTTGATCTACTCCAGCCTTGCAAAAGAAAAGGGAGTCGTTCGCAAAGAGTAAATGAGAAAGTAGGGGGGCATTCTGAGATAATTTCATCCCTTTCAGTCTGCCTCTATCAGTAGAATCCAGAACCATAGCAGACAAGAGCTCAGCAACAATTATAAAAAGGTATGGAGACAAGGGGTCCCCTTGTCTAATACCTCGAGAAGGGTTGACAAAACCTGTTACTGATCCATTTATTTTGAAGGAAAAAGATGAAGAGGAAACACAGACCATAAGCAGCTTCACAAAGTCCAAGTGAAAACCCATTTGAACCATAACCTTTTTAATGCAAATCCACTCCACTCTATCAAAGGCCTTAACAAGATCAAGTTTCAGGGCCATGAAGAATTTGTTACCAGATGAATGCCTATTTAGAAAGTGGAATGCCTCTTGTGCAATGATAACATTGTCAAAGAGTTGTCTCCCTTTAATAAATGCAGACTGATAGGGGCTAATGCAGCAATCCAGGCACACCATAAGTCTATTAGCTAGCACCTTAGATAGGATTTTATAAACAACTGTGCATAAACTAATAGGTCTAAATTTGCTCAGAGTGTCAGGATTATCACATTTAGGAATCAAAGAAAGGATGGTGTGGTTCCAATATTTAAGCATAAGGCCAGATTGAAAGAAACTAGAGATGGCCGAAAAAAGATCATACTTGATAAGAGGCCAGAAATGTTGATAAAAGTGAGCACTCATCCGATCTTCACCTGGAGTTTTATCAGGATTAAGAGAAAAAAGAGCATCATGAACCTCCTCTTCAGTAATTTGCTTGAGAAGTGTTGTGTTCATGTCATCTGTGATGGATGTGGGAATAAGGGGAATGATAGAGTCTCCACCCCAGCTGCCCTCTGAATTGAATAGCTGTGAATAGAAATCAGCAATGTGCAGTTCAATGTCTCTCTGAGTTGATATCACTCTGCCCTCAGCTGAAAGCAACCTGGAGATTGCATTTTTCCTTCTTCTTTGTAAGGTGTAGGCATGAAAGAATTTAGTGTTAGCATCACCTTCTTTGAGCCATTTGTGTCTGGATTTCTGATGCCAATAAAGCTCTTCTTGTCGATGGGCTGCATCAAGTTCTCTTTTAGTATCTTCCCACAATTGCCATTGATCACCAGTTTTATTCAGATTCAATACTTCCAACTTTTTTGTAAGACCATCAATCTTTGCTTGGTTCTGAGATTTAAAAGAGGAGCTCCATTTAAGTAATGCTAGCCGAGTGAGCTTCACTTTTTCCTTCAGAGCATAGAATGGGGTGCCATACACTGGAGTGTTCCAAGTTTCCTTCACAAGATCCTCGAAACCTTCTTTCCCAATCCATCTTTTGTCAAAATGAAACCTTGATTTCTGCCTGGTTTTGGAAAGGCCCCAGTCAATCAAAAGAGCAGAGTGGTCAGATGAACTTCTGATGATGTTGGTAACTGAAGCATTAGGAAAATTGATGAGCCATTCAAAAGAACCAAATGCTCTATCCAGTCTTGCTTCAATAAGCCCAGAGCCAGCTCTGTTATTACACCAAGTAAAAGGATAGCCATTCATGCTGAGTTCAATCATTTCCATATGATGAATGAAGTTATTGAACCCTTGTAAACTGAGATCACTTCTACAGATGCCACCAGACTTATCATTGTGAGAACAAATGTCATTCCAGTCTCCAATTGAGAACCAATTTGAGCCCCATGATGATTTAGCTTGAATTAATTCTTGCCACTGTTGAGCTCTAGTGATTCTGCAGGTGCTCAAGTACACAAAAATGCCCCACTGAGGGTCTAGGTTATTAGTCTGAAAATGAACTGCCAAATAAAAAGAACTACTAATAATTTGGATTATAGAGACTTGTGGGTCCCAGAGAAGAAGAAGACCTCCACTTTGACCAGAAGGATCCACAACAGCTAATCTATCTACAAACCCGAGCTTTCTACTAACAGATTTAACAAAAGCGCTCTGATTTTTAGTTTCAGAAAGGAAGCAAAAAAGAGGATGGTGAGTTCTAATTAACTCTCTGATTTGGGAAATTGTAGAGGGCCCACCCAACCCTCTACAATTCCACACCACAGCTAACATTGGTTACTGTGGTGCCACTCGAGGCTGGCAACCCCACCTTATCAGATGATAACTTTAATTTTTTACCGTTCACCTGGTCAGGAGAGTGATCAATTTGAGGATCAGAATGAGATTCTTCCTCTCTCTCTGCTCTTAATCTTTTGCCTGAAAGATCCTGATCAGTGACTATAGGAGTGACTGGTTCTCTTTTTAGTCTGCCATCTTTGCTTCTATCCCTTTTCCATGTTCTGATGATCCCAACTGGAGATGATGCTATTATGCTGAGGTTATTCATTGGGGATGAAACATAAGCAGGCTCCCCAATAGCAGTTGCCTCCATATCCAAAGTTTTGGCTTTTTCCATCGAGTGTGCATTTGCTTCCACAATGGGTCCTGCAGGCTCCTTAGCAGCCAAGTGAGAGTTTTGAGCCAATGAGTCCTCTTTATCTTGATGGTGGGTGCGAGAGGATTCTCCAGGTAGCACTATAAGCTGGTTACTTCCTTCCGCTCGACTTTTTGAAGATCTTGGAGAAGATTGCTGAATTGGGGTGGAAGGACTAGAGGAATTGGGGGATTTTGAGCCAGATGAATTTAGATTTGCCCAATTTTGGCCTTCAGAAGCACGAAGCCAATCACCGTATTGACCCTCTTTCAGGGATTTAGATATGAGATCTTGCTGTCTTTTAGAACAACTTCTTTCTAGGTGCCCTATAAAGCCACAATAATGACACATACTCACTCGTTTTTCGTATTTAAAGCTCACTGTGTTCAGCTGATCCCCCAATCTAATAGTAGCACATCGAGGAATCGGTTCCTTTATATCAATGGAGACCAAAAGCCGCATCACGGGGCCTCCATGACCACCCGCGCCAACCACAACGACATTTTTGAGCTGTTTGAATACTGCTCCTAATTTGACTCCAACCTCTGTACTAAGCCAGTTAAGAGGGATGTTAAAGACTTGAACCCAGAAACTAACTTCTTGGAAAATAGGATGATTGATAGATAGCCCATCACACCACTCTGTTAGAACTAGGTATTGGTTATCGAAGCTCCAGTTTGTGCCTTTTGCGACTCTTTCTTTATCTTCTCTGCTTTGAAACAGAAATTGAAAGTAGTTGTGACCTAACTCCTTAACCTCCATAGCTTGATTAAGTCTCCAAATGTGACTCATAGCACGTTTAATACCGAACCAGCTAGCTTTCCGATCACCAATAACTTTTCCAAAAAGACTCCGTTGACAGATTTCAGCACTTGGTTTTATATCCTCTTGAGCTAAGTCTATGATCCCTGTCTCTCGTTCAGATAAAGAGAATCTGTGAAGTCGTTGAGACAGTTCGTCGTCTTGACCAATACAAGAAGAAGGACCCATGATATTGCCAATATCCAGATACCAGTAGATCTATAAATAGAAAAGCCCCAAATGTGGAAAATAGAATTCGATGAGGACTGAATGTGTGAATCAATATCGCCGGGGATGAGGAATAGAACTAAAAACAGTGAAGAAAGTGAACAAAAGCCCGATCAATGCCAGATTATCGATCGAAAAAAGAACGCTCTCCATGAGAGAATTGGTACGCTCTCCATGAGAGAATTTCTTGATTATGGCATAACTCAATAATCATATTATTGAAGCAAAGTCTCTACAAAAATATAAATGGCACGGAAATATATATTTCACATATGATATCAAGTCATTCAAGCTACATATTGCTTTTTTTATTAAATGGATTGCACAAAGCACAACATATTTGATGAATGAGGGACAAGGTAGTAATAAACTTAAAAATGGATTAGGAATTTAACATGGGATAACTCAAGTTAATGGGATCAGTTGGAAAGCAAAGATGATAGCTTTGGTTGCAGGGGTNGGGTTCCAAACAAGAATCAGCGGATCTTGTTCCGAAACTCCATTTTGAGGATGTGGGAGTCAACGCCATGTCGAGCTCGACCGTGGGAAACGTTTTTGATAAATATTAATAGAAAAGAACGAACCAAACAAAGAGGGAAAAGAGAACAAAAAAGAGTGTGCTATTGGAATATATTCAATGTTTTCCTGGACAAAAATAGTGTGGTCTATTGTTTCCTCAACAGTTCAATATACACCTTTGTTTTTCATGTCCATTGTTCGATATATGTTCTAATTCAATGAACATAATTAGACGACTTCAAATATAAAACACAATTTTTAGAATGAAACCATTAGTTGGCAAAATAGAAAATTGTGCAATTTTTGTTGTTCCTCAAACTAAAATTAATATGCTGGTTATATAATATCAAATTATGGTTGGTGCAGAGATCCAGAGCATGTGAGGTAGATCGGAGCTACTACAGCTGTTAAAACTAGAGCCATAAGGTAAAAATATCAAGTATTCCCTTATTCATCAAACTAGAGCCACCAGGTAATAAAACACATAAACATCTTCCCTCATTCAGCAAAAAGATGCTCGAGCAGTAGAAAATGAGTGTTATGTGTCTTCCATCATTCCAAATCCAAACAATGCTCAATCATCAAGAATTTGAGAAAAAAACAATAATAGAAAAATGTACTAACACACTAAATAGCTTAATTTGCAAGTCCAATGTGCATTAAGCTAAAGCTAAAAAGAAACAAAAAAAAAAACATTCACTCATTGTCTGAATCTGTCTCTATAGTATTGCCTGATTCTCCGGCCAAAGCTTCTGCCAATGGTTTGTTTTCCTACATGCCAACACCAATGTAAAAATTATAACCGAAGCAAAATGAAAGAACGAGTAAACAACACAAAACATTAAAGTAAATAATGGAACTTACAACATTTTCTCCAAAAAGACCCTCAGTTTCCCATTCATTTAGTATCCGCATCTGACATTCTTCAATCCTTTTCTGTACAGTTTCTGGAAGCTTGGAAACATCGATGCTCATAATACGAAGTTGTTCTTCTCTCTTTTGAGCTTTCTTCTGAAGCAGCTCTTTTTGGTGAAATTCTTTTTCCTTTTGCCTATCTTCTATCTTTTGAGCTTCTTCGCGGAGTTCTTGGTCTTTCAGTTTTCTTTTTTCAGCAGCAACCTTAACTTTCATCTCTTGATTCGCTATGTGCTGCTTAAATTCAAATTCCTTTTTGCTGCTCTCCTTTCTAAACTCAATTTCTTTCTCAAAAGTAGAACGCAAACTTTTTATAGCATCTACCACACCACCATCTTCATTGGTTTTCTTTTTACTCTCCTTCGATGCTTTTCTCCCTTTGGGACGCACAATGTCATCTGTCTTGTTAATCCCGTCAATTTTGTCCACATCATGACTATCATCTGGGATACTATGTAGTGGTGATATGCCCTTGTCTCTGGGATCAACATCTTCACTGAACTCATTTCTTTTTGTCATATTTTACATGCACCACTTCAGATTTGTTCTCAATGTCTCCCAACAATGTTCGAACTGGAATTCTTTTTTGCCAGTGCACTCATTATACATACGAATAGCTTCTCGCTTCTGAAATGCATTGTTAGAGTAACACATTAGGAATGATAAAGGATAAACAAAAAATACAAATAAAGAATGAAAATATATACTTTACTAGAATGACATGAAGTGTAGAAACTAACCATATCATCTAAGTTAGTGCCACTTTTTGAAAGCCTATCCAACTTCTCGTAGAATGAATTGAACTTAGTAACAGCCTGATTTATCTTTTTCCAACGTTGTTGCAAGCTAATCGGCGTTCGGTTCTCTTTACACTCAGCTCCCATATTTTCTTTCCAAACAGGAAAAACTTGTTTCCATAATATAGCAGTTTTTTGGTTATTGCCAACATCTGCATCAACTGAAATATAAAGCCAAGCTTTCGTCAATGCAACATCTTCATTTTTGCTCCAACTCTTGTTGAATTTGTCATTTTCAAGAGTTTGAGAGATGATGAAATCGTTGTCCTTCGTCTTAGCCTTTTTTGGTGCGTGAGCGTATTGTGTTGGGTAGGTATGTGTCGGCTGGACAGGATACATGGGAGCATTTAATAATTGTTGGTATGAAAAGCTTACTCCGTATTTTTGCTGACTAAGGGAGATCTAGATGCATCGTTTGGATTATATGCAAAGTTCAGTTGAAATCCTTGAGTAAAATAAGCAAATGGATTAACCATTTCCCCGAGACCCTGTGGCCTACTATATATATTTTCCATCTCACGTGATGTTTTAGCTTCATTCATTTCTGTAGCTTTTTCCATTTGCGACATGACCGTGTTATTCTCCTCTTGAGAATTCATTGTCCAATGCCTGTAAAAGAAATACAGTTCAACTAAAGATGTGGATAAGTGATACAGAATTGCTTTTTAGGATATCTAATGAACATAATAGTAGACAAGCATGTTTTGGATCTCCTGACACAGGGAAATTAGGGATTTTCCCATATATACCAGATCAGATTGCAAATTCAACACCCTCGCAAGAAAAAAAAAAAATAGTAAACAATAATACTAAACTAAATATACACACGAATTTATTTGGTCCCTCTCATACCCATGTATCTAATACAATGTGAATACAGAAAGTTCATATATCTCATAAATTTGTGCAAGAACCAGCAAGTCTTTCTACTGACCTCAATTTTACAAGCATATCTTCATTCTTCTCTGTTTTTTTAACCCCACATAAAATTCAAGAAAATTCAGTAAGTAAAAATTATAATTATAAGATATTACAAAAGGAACATAATGGTCCACTCTCCTTTGCATACTACACTAGTGTGTGTGTGTGTGTGTGTCTGCAGTTGTCCGCATATGATGTACAGCTCATCACAAGGTTACATATAAATTATACAGTTTCATCCCAAGATCATCCCCACGAAGATTACAAATTACAATAATTCTGGAAATAAACACAAAAACACTGTTAATAATAATTTTTTTGGGAAAAAAAATAATCAAACCTGGGAATATAAACGGGAGTTCGATTTTTCTCAAATTTGTCTTTGATTGTTCTATGCCCAGGAGAAGCCGCGAACAAGGAGACTTTGTCCAGAAGAAAAAAATGTGAGAAACCCGCCATTTTTGCGCAAAAGAAACAAAAATTTGCCCGCCAATATTTCATGATCTGTTTTCTCTATTAAAAAAAATAAAAATTGTAAATTAATTGCTGACTAGTCAGGTTTGTGCTTGGGTCCAAAATAGACCCAAGGATGGACTTGGTCTCTTTTTTATTATTGCCACATAAGCTAGACCATGTCTACTCTTAATTGCATTGGGAGACATTTTTTTATGGACCAAGTCTATTTACTTACATGGCATGTGAGATTTGATTAAGAGACCCAAGCATTGAAGATGCTCTAAAAATCTGCACTACGGTAATTACTAAACAACAATGTTGACAAAATTAGACATGCATAATTAAATATGAGTAATGTAATAGAACCTACTTGAGTTACAATTTGAGTTACAACTCAAATGTAAATGCATTATCTTTTAATTTTTTGATAATGCATTTACACTTAGGTTGTAACTCAAGTTGTCATCCAAGTTGACTATTATAACCAACTTGAGTTACAATTGGGTTCCAACTCAATTGTAAATGCATTATTTTTTATGTTTTTGATAATGCATTTTGATGGGCCTACTCTCAGATCTAGAGTAAACCGGTGGTAATGAGCTCCGATCAGTTTGAACTGCCTCCAAATTGTTGTTAGACCGCCGTGAACACCTGCAAGAACTCAACGCCGGAAGTGTTTCCAACGTAGAGCCTCCGACGCTCAAGTTAGTATGTGAAAGAGATGAAAGAGAGAGAGAGCAGCAGCAGGAGAAATGAGAAGTGTATGGAATGAGTGGAAGTTAGGGTTTAGGGTTACCTCAGCCCCTTTATATAGAAGGGAATACTCATTTGAAGTATCCAAATGCCCCGGTTGGTTTAGTTGAAGTGACCACAATACCCTGGTCGATTCGTCTCTCTTCACTACTTATTCATCTCAAGATTCCTTCTTATCCAGTCAAGATTCTCCTTTATTTAGGAGATCTGTTAGGAGACAATGCAAGTATCTCAAGTCGTCATTATGCTCTGATTCTTCGAGGGGTGAGAAGTTGTCCTCGAGCATCAGGAGGTTGACTTGGAATTATCATGAAGTTGTTCGGAGGCTATACTTGTTCATCTCCTTGGTGGAAGTCGATTTTGTGAGCCGACTTTGAGATCGTCGACTTCGATAAACCGACATCTTCCTTCAAATGGCTCATGCAGAGCTATCAACCATCGGGATGTCAACTTGGAGATGTCAACATGTAGACGGTTCGACTCGTCATCTCGGTCGAATAAAGGGGTACTTGAACCGGTATATCATAATATGGTATATCACATTTACACTTGGTTTGTAACCCAAGTTGTNTCGAGCTTAAGAGTAAATTTAGTGATCAAGTGCTACGGATTTCGTTTTTAATTCCTTTCTCGACATCGAGACTTCTCGAGGTGTTCTCGTTTGACTTGTATCTATTATGTTTGTTTGACTCCAATCGCGATAGCTATCTAATTCGTCATGCGGATGACTCGTCTCCTTATTATATTAATCGTTCGCGATTTGGCCTCTTAGTCGGGTCATCTACTTAGAGTTTTCTGGATCAATCTGACATTCTGACATCTTTTCAAATTTCAAAATTCGAATTTGGATATGGCACGCCGCCTCCACTTCTTGTCTCTTAGAATTCTGGGCCCTATCAGAGCCGTTAGATTTCCCTTTAATCCAAGGGTCAATATTTCGCTACTTCGCATATAAATTCTCCTCTTCCCCTAGTTAAACCACTTTTCGCCTTCTCGAATTCTCGCAGTTTCTTCAAGCTTTTCTGGCAATCTCAGCGACTTCAGCTTCACCAGTGCTCTTACTTCCGGCAACTTCAGATTTCTCAGGACTCCAATCAAGTCAATCATGTGTAAGTTCTCTTTACTTTCCCACTTCTGCAAGTTTTTTGATTTTCCTGGGTTTTTTGATTTCGAAGTTTATGCGTGTTCTTCAAACTTCTTTTTTTTCTCTTGAACTTTGTGTTGAATCTTCAACACGAAAAATTTTGTTTTGGTTTTCTGTTTATCTGTGCTTTGTTGCACATCGACTTTTGGTATGAAGTCGACTTTCGCATCTTCCTTCAGGTTGACTTCTGTCGACATGACAATCTTGACGTTATTAAGTCGATTTCGACTTAATTTTTTTCAACGCTTACCACGTTTCCTCGTCTTCTAGATTAAGAAGAGTCGAGTACACTTGTGGTTTAATTTGCATCTTTTAGCTGCTTTTGTGATAGCTATTTTCTTCTTATTCGGCTCTTTTCTTCGAGTTGTCTTCCGACGACTTCTGCAAGTCGATTTATCCGTTATATCGAGTGTGTTAGCCTTCTCTTCACACTTAGTTCTCACTTACTGATTTTGACTTTTTCCTTTTCAAATTCTCTAGATTCCAACTCCGACTCTTCCCCTGACACGGTTGAGCGTCTAATCTACGAGGGCCCACAGTCGTCTAATTCAGTACAAGTGGTCGGCTTTAAGCTAGCTGTCGAGTCACAGAACTCTTCTCCTTCCCGTGCCGCAGCTTCCAGTGTCGACTGGAACGAAAGCACTATTATCGGGTGGCTTGGTGGATGTCTTGAGGAGCCCCTCACGGGGAGACTCTCCTCGTCTCGACCTCCTTCCCCGAGGTATTCTTCTTATATTTTTTAATATTCTTGTGTATAAAACGAGTCTCATTTCTGTACCACTAATTGCTCTTCATGTTAAGCCCCAAAGTGTTGTATCAATAGCGTGTCCGTTAGCTGAAGTAGTTGTTTCAAACCCTTTCTCTTATGCCCCTGCAGACGAAGTCGACGGCTTTAAAGCGTTCACTGGGCTTCCTTTTGACTGGGAGTTGCTCACCCCTCATCCGGCTGCTATACGTTTTTCATAGATCAAATAATGTTCGGTCTCTGTTTTTCTATACAACCCGAGCTACTGTCAATTAGTAACATGTACAATGTGCCAATAAATCAGTTTTCTCCCAATGCGCTCCGCATCATGATTGCATTCATAGTCGTTTCCTGAAGACTTCACTATTTCTCTCTCGAGTTCTTCTACTATTGTTATAGCTACAGATACAGAAAAGACGCCCATTGTTTGGTCCGTCGATTCGGTGTCGCCTTCCTTAATGATCTTTCCTTGAATGTGACTGAATTGAAGTCGAAGTATGTTTTCATTCGACTTGCCATCAGCATGTACCCTTATGTAAATGCTTGGATCACCAAGAAGGTTAAACAAAACAAACGACCCCGTTCCGACCAGTTTGTCATGCTGCTGGATGAACTTAATAAGCACACTTACAGTGCTTGACAATTGATTAGGGATACTTCCCTTCTCAACCATGCTCGCATAGTTGTCGAGGACCTTCCTCGTCTTGACGACCCTCGTAAGTTTGCCTACTTTCTTATTTGTACTTTTTTATTTTATGTGTGGTTCTTGTTCTCAGAACTTTCTTTCTTATCTCGTCTTTGTTAACGCATAATTTTTTCTTGCTGCAGATTATGTTCTTGCTCGCTTCGAGAATGTGAAGCCTAAAGGCGACAACAAATCCGCCAGTCGACCCACTCATCCATACGAAAACCGACGGTGGCTCCTAGTCGGGAGCTAAGGAAGCAGCAGTCGAGACGACTGCTGCAAATAAGTTAAGGGTCGAGAACCCACCAGCTTCTAAGGAGCACAAGACACCGGGATCGCATTCCCGAAAGAGGGCCGAGGATGATAGGGATGTCGTCTTGGTGCCTGAGGCGCTCAAGCGCCAAAAAAGCCAAGGCAAGGGGAAGGCGGTCGAGAAGCCTCCTCCATCCCCCGTTGCTGTCGAGAGGGTCACCCTTAATAGGCCGTCTCAACTCTGGAATCACCTGTATCCGCACGAGGTGGCAGAGTATCTCGACTCCATCCTTCCCGCTGCTAATAAGGCTCGCGCCAACTGTGAGCCTTATGATCGCGCAAACTGTGCCCTTCTCTGCTTTTCTTAGGTAATTCTCTCGACTTTGCTTTAGTCAACTTTGCTTCTTCATTGATTTAGTTCTAATCTTTTCCCGGTTTTCTTCTAGTTTATGGCATACGCAATCCCCACTCTCCTCGAGGAGTCCAAATCGCCCGAGTCCAACGCTAGGACTTACAAGAAGAAATATGATGTCCAGGTCAAGGAGATTGAGAAGAAGGACGACAACCTACTGGCGGCAAATGCCTTGATCGCTAAGCTGAAAATTGAGAAGGCTGCCGCTCTTGAGAAGGTCGACCGCCTTCGCACCGACCTCGTGAAAGCCACAGACCAGAATCTGACCGAGAGGGAGCCGGGCATTCT